TTGGTAGTGAACCACTGGAAACCAAAAATATTGTAGATAAACGAAAAAAAAGATCATTTGCCAGGAAATCTATAAAACTAGTTCTTGAGGGCTATTAAAAATAATTACATAAAACATGACAAAAAATCCCAAGACTTATTTACAACAATGATTTAAAAATGCAGGAATATTCATAACTACGTAATAAGCTGTTTTTTGAAACCACTTGCTGGGTTTCTTACTAATCTTTGTACTAATAAAAATTCTATAATACCAAATCAAACTATAAAATGACAAAGCTCTGACTCGTCTTATGCACCAGATAATCATTACAAAAATGTTTTTTATATCAAGACATTATTAAAAATTAACCTATTAGACAGTATTGCTTCATTGATCTAAATGTGTAATAATGAAGGCATACAAAATTAAATGAAAATATACAAACTAATAAGTTATTTATCCCTGTAATGATACTAGGTAGAAGAACTCTATGAGTGAAAACATTCAGACACTATCATTATAATTGACAATAAATTGAAAATTTTGAACTGGCTGCCATCTATGAAATTTTAAGTGAACTAAGCCTCAATGCATTTTCTATGGCCATTTGAAGTTCATATTTCTTACCAAAACATTTATTACTTAGAGATTTATCATTTTAAGAGTAATTCATAAATGTAATTGAAGTGGATAAACTTGTATATTTTAGTCTACATATGACTGGTTTTATTTTATATCTTAAAATTATGATAAAATTGCATGTTTACATTTTTAAAAAATATTACATTGTAAAACCAAAATAATTAAAGGTTAACCATTCAGATATTATGTTCACAGGATTGAAGAAATTGTTATTTTTAGAACATTTTATTTACCAATCTCGAAAAACACACAAGGAAAACCTTTTTTAAAGAGAAAATCAAAAGTTCTTTGTAAGTGGAAGAAAAAATATTTAAAAGTAAGCATTCTAGGTGCAGTTGCTTTTCCTGCAATATTTCTGGATCCAATTTCTCTCTTTTGGATCTAGATTGTAAGAAACATATGAACGAACCAAAGCACCAGAAATTGGCATGGTATTCAAGTCAGTCTCAATTAATGTCTGCATTTGTTTCACCAGGACATGATCTAAGTGCAATTAAAGAAAAATCTTACGTTTGCATATTGATGACAGAACACAACGTCAGTCATTTGTATAAGTAGGAACAAAATGTATTTAAGGTGAGGTTGGAATTAAAACCAGTAAATAAAATTATTATAAATATTTATTAATGTTTGCAGAACAACAGTAGTAGTTTTTACTATGTGTGACTTTGTTTCCAACTTATTGTTTGATATATGATTCAAATTTCACCTTTTCTAATTCTGTTAGAATGAAAGTGTGAAAAGGCATAAAGAAGTCTCAGATCCATACCTTGTAGTACCAGTTTGAACTGTGTAAACTTAAGTTTGTTCACAAATAAAATTTTTGATCAGAATGACTTAAATAATGAAATTGAATTTTGACTTTTAGCTTGACAAACCAGTCATTTTTAAAATGATTGAAAAATGCTTATTTCTTACTGTAATAAAACAGGTCATGCATGTATGAAAACATAAAAGTTGTATTACATGTCCTTATAAAAGTGCCCCAAATGTTTCGTAAGAAAAATAAAATGGATTAAATCCAACTCATAATTAACTGCTTCAGTTTTGAAATATATTAATTATATTGCCAATTATAACACTTCTGGCCTGGCATGGCTAGGTGGTTAGGGAGCTCAACTCACAATCTGAGGATCGTGGGTTCAAATCCCCATTCCACCAAACATGCTTGCCCTTTCAGTCATGGGAGTGTTATAAGTTGACAGTCAATCCCACTATTCATTGATAAAAGAGTAGCCCAAGAGTTGGCAGTGGGTGGTGATGACTAGCTGCCTTACCTCTAGTCTGTCACTGCTAGTACAGATAGACCTCATGTAGTTTTGTGCACAATTCAAACCAAACCAAACTATAACACCGCTGAAAGTCATCATAACTCTTAGTCCAGTATTTAGCTCCCCATCATGCAGATATAGTGTGTTTAACATACTATTGGACATTCTTCTCTAGTTTCTTTCAGAAATACTTATTAATAAATACAAAAACTTTTTTCCATCAGTAAGACCTTATTGTACACACGTTATTTGTGTAAAAAGGCATTAAAAATATACCTGTGTCAAAAAAACAAACTTATATATATATTGAACATCTGAGAAAACAAATAATTTCTGACATAAACTATAAATATCACTAGTCCATTATTATTATTATGTGGCCAAAATTGCATCCATATTCACTTTTTCCACACTAACTTAACTCAACCACTCAGCATCACTTCATCAAAACTTGTCACATGTTATAGGAGCCATTTGAGCCCACGTAAACAAGGGAGAGAAGTCGTATTGTTCATTAAAGTGGTGACAGACTTTACTAGTACATACTCACATTTCTTTTCTTTTTTTAGACATTTAAAATTTTATAATGATTGTACAAAGATAAAATGCTTTTAGTTTTAAAAGATGAAAGGGGCTTCAGCCACGAATATCTTGGGAGGAACAGAGTTTCATTTTTATTTCTTGGTAAAGGCCCAAGCTCCAGGAACCCCTATCTATTTTGGTAACTACCATTACCTTCTACCTTTATCTCCTTCACTATCAGTGTTATGTAAGGTCATTCACTCTGATTACAATATTTAACTTAGAGAAATATAATTCTAATGTATTTCAATAATTTTGTGTCAGAAAATAGTGTAGCAATGATATAAAAAAATACAATGGTTACTTCTAATTTTGTAAATAAAAAAATTTAAAATGTCTAAATTTTTGTTTTTCTAGTGTCTGTAAGCACCTTAACTATGGCTTACATTGATGTATACCAGTAAATTACATATAATTACTACAAAATATTTGTTTCTCATACTTCTAGAAGCAGAATAAGCTTAGCTGTTATTTTATTGTTTGAATTTGTGTCTATACTTTTAATGAAAGGTGACAAATGGGTATGTATCTCAGGTGTGAAAATACAGATACATACTCCAGCTAAAGACCACTGACAATTGGAGGTGCTAAGTTTCAAAACATTGTACACAGCAGGCTAATGTCACATTTTCAGGTTCACCTAAAGCATTTGAAATAGCAGACAATAATGAGTAATTGTTGATCATACTGATTTTGTGTATTTTTTAACAGATTATGTAATTGCTTCAGTAGGAAAAGAAAAGGCATACCAAAGATAAATATTTTAATGAATATAAAATAACTTACAATTTATTGGATGGATACTATAAAACTTGTTAATCAATAATAAAAAGTAATCTAGTTTTACTTATGTCTTTCATATTTTTTTACAATTGTTTTTCATTGTGTGTGTGTTAGTGATCCTATCTAGTTTTCATAAATTACTATTTGTATGGTGTTGAAATAAAACCTGCCAAAATTTTTGAAATTTTATTGTAAAAAATATTGGATATATTTACATTTTATGTTAATAACATAAAAATAGGAAGTCTAAGATAAAAGGAAGTATTTTTATTACTTTGTATAAAAACATTTGTAAAATATATTATCAAATTTCAGAATGTGAAAAATTATATAAATATTAAACCAAATTATGCATGTTTTTTACAGATACATATATATTATTGTTTGTAACAGACAATTATACACTATTTGTTTCTAGTCGAAGCTAATAGATTTTTCATTTAATTTTATTTCTTTAAAGTTGTGGCTTAGACCCTCTCAGAATTCGGTGACAGATTTGTGTAAACAATGGATCCAATTATCAACATGCTCATATCAAATTATGCATTATTAATTGATGTGTGATATTATTGATCATGAGTATTTTGTTTATTTAATTTCATTGAAGTTTCTCTATTTAACCTAACAAGTTTCTAATTCTTACATTTTCTTTACTTTTATAACAATAAATATAAAATGTATATAAAAACCAAGGAATTTAGTACTTAAGTCTGAAATCATATCTTTTTCAAGCTTTTGTGATTGTTTGATAGAAGTTGATATCAAAGATTATCCCTGGTTCATTTTAAATTTAAATATGCAATTTAGAATATAAAATATTGCCATGCATATAAAATAGAATGTTCTACAATTAATAAAATGTATCTGGCTTTCTAACTAAGCTAGAAATGGCTTAAATAATTCTCATACCTGGTCTAGCAGAGCTCCAACAATGGCAAACAAAGAAAATGATATCAAACCTGCTCATTCCAAGGGTTTGAGACCCTGTAGATGTCAGTAAAGTGAAATATTTGTTTTTTGTTTATTACAAATAATTTAAAACAAATCTTAGAGAGAATTTATGACATGTTTTGTAAGTAGGATGTTCTACAAGGGGTGTGGCATGTGGCCTTCAGTTTATTGTTTATATTTCTGCAAAACAAGAAAATTAGATGCTGTTAATTAATATCTTAGCTTTGGAACATCTAACCTGTAAGTATGTACTTCCCTGGAAACTTATAAAATTTTATAGAGGTGGAAAGAAAATCTGCATTGAGCCATTTGGAGCAAAGAACTGTCACGAGATACAGAAAAGTGAAGATTGAGAATTCATTTGAATATTTCCTTTTAAAATTAAAACACATATAGTATCCAAAATTGAGTTTTAAGTTTTGTTTGATACCAAGTGTATTCACATACTTTGATAGTAAAATTGTTTAATTAAGTTTTGAATGTAACTCATTAAAATATTCGTAACTGTGAACTTTGGCTCACCCATATCCAGTTAAATATAATTCCTTTTACCAAATATATTCAAAAGTTGTTGCTTCCTTATGTTCAAGTACATCTCGGTGTAGTATTTAATTTTGAAATCTAGTATCAGACTTTATACACTTTTGATGTTTGTGGAATTTATATTATATAGTGTATTATAATGGAAGTCTTTATGTTACTCTGAATGCTGTAGATATGCTGTTTGTTTCCACTGTTACTGTTCATGCTATAAACAATTTGTTACAAATATTGTTTTTTGGTAAATAGGCTAGGAGTGGATATGAGTGAAGCTGATATTGAGGATCAGTCTGACACGGATAGTGAAGGAAATGGCCAAACTCAGGATCATGTATCTGCCAACCAGAGTGTCAGGCTCACATCAAGATTTGAGGAAGCAAAACAGAGTCAAGATTCTGGAAATGATGATAATTCTCAGTTTTTGAACCCATCGTGTTCCACAAGTAAGGAACAGTATGAGAGTTCATTAGGGTCTGCATCATGTGTAAATGAATGTTTACAAGAATCAGACTCGGCCAACAAATGTGAAAGACCACCTTTCTTAAAACCATACCACAGAAGAGAAAGTTTTGTGTGAAAAGGAACCACAAGAAAAAAATACTAAGGTCCAGGAAAATGGTAGTACTGTTGGTGGCATAGAGTCATTTCAAAAGAAGTCAGAGAAATTGGGATTGCTCAAGCTTTTACCTCCTCCAGTAACAGAAAATGAAACCATTCAGACTGTAAGTACAGCTATTTCAGGAAGTAAATGATTTTCATCACTGTTAGATCAATTATCATGTGTTAATATACATAAATTATTCAAATTAAATCTCTGCAAGCCAGTAAGATTTTAACATTTGAGTATATAACCTCTGCAAGCTAGTTAGCTTGTAAAATTCTTAAGTATGTAAATTATACAAGCCAGTAATATAGCAAGGTTTTCATTAAAATTGTGCAATTTAGTTTTAGGATGAGGTAAGGCAATATTCACTTGTTAGTATTTTTTTCATTTGTATTAAAAACACATTCATGACAGTTAGGTATAATGTGTTACAATTTACATATTATGCTTTACTCAAAATGTCTTAAGTCTGAATTTATTAAATTATAAATGTAATTTTCTACACAGTAAGAACAACAATGTATGTACAGTCACATATGTAATTCAATCAGCATATAACCAGAAAACTAGTAAAATAGATCAAATTTATGAGTTACAAAATAAGTGACCATATCTTATGAAAAAAAAGTATCAAAACGTTTTCAAAACTATGCATGAAATTAAGGTATATCTGTATTGTCACTTTACAAAAAATATGAATTACTCCAATAAACTGACAGCAAGCTCTTAACAAATCAATGTTTGAAATTAGTTTACTTTCTATGAGGTTGTGATTATTAGTAACAGTTAACATTAAAGTTGTATTGGTTTGAACTGCCCGGCCTGTGTGACGTGTTTTGATATACTTTTTCTTGTCTCATTCAACTAAATTAATAAGTAACATTAATGAATAAGTATTAATTGTTTTCCAGGTAAAATTTAATTTTCAATACAAGCTTCAAATAAAACATTGAATATCTGATATATGATGTGGCAGAGAGATAATGTAAATGGATTTTCAGAAAAGCCTGCAACTTAAGTGATAAATCAGCTAATTAGAGTACTTTATTAGGTAAAAATGATAAAACCATAATTTTGTAGATGAATGTCACATGTGACATTTCTGTATTTTTAATTGCATATTTTAAGTTTAAAAACAAAAGTGTGTGTTTTTCTTTTTAAAGTTCAGGATTTTTATAATATGCAAAATGCTAGGTATGTAGTTACGTAATTAAAAGTCATCTAATGTAGTTACATAACTCAAGTTTTGATTACCATTTGAAATTTGTTAGCATTAAAAAAGTAGTGTTTAATATTTTTTAATAGATACATTTTTGTTTTGCATAAATGTTGGTGACAGACTATAAAAATATTTCTCCTAAAATCAACTTTTAATGTATATAACATTGCATTTGGAGCCTAAAAGCATAAAATATAATCTGAAAAATTAGTATTACATTTCCCCTTTCCTTCTATGGCTGGACGACACCTACAAAGAACATCTTATAAGCTTCATCATTTTTATTAAAAAAAAAAGAAAAATACAAGTGTCATCTTAATAAAAAAAAAAGTTTGTTATAAAGAATATTTTAAGTTTCATTCTATAAAAGATTTGCCCTGAGAAACATAATCATAATTTCTTCTTTTAATTTGTAGACAATTGTTGATGATAAACCAATCATCCTGATGGAATATCAGAGTCCTCAAGAGTTAGAGGCACTTGGCTTAGATAGACTGAAAATGGAGTTAATGAATCATGGACTAAAGTGTGGAGGAACTCTTCAACAGAGGGCTCAGCGCTTGTGGTCTATACGTGGGCTTGAACACCATGAGATAGACTCTTCCTTGCTTGCAAAACCTCAGAAAAATAAAAAAATAACTTAAACTTGCAGAAGGAAAAGAATTAAATTGCTGATACTTAGATAAGAAAATATTTTAGAACACAGAGGTATTCTTTGTCTTGTTATGACACTGAATCCACATTAAGAATATTTTTAATCTTTTTTTATATTGATCAATGCCCAGGACAACAATTCTTATCATTGTACAAAGTAGATTTCTAGGGAGCCATGCAAGTTTCTGAAAATTCTGAACTGCAGAAGTCTAGCACATACCCACAAACATTTAAAAATGCTTATCTCTAAACCTCATATCAAAACTGTATACCCAAATATACATATCTTTTTAATACACAAACCTTCAGTCACATACACACACAGACTGATAAATGTTTTTAAATTAATTTACCAATATTATTACATT